ATTGCTCACAATGATATTTTTCATGAACGCATAAAACATATTGAGGTTGATTGTCATTGTATTCGATATCATGTTGTTAAAGGAACTATCCATCTAGTCTTTATTGGCTTTACAGATCAGCTTGTGGATCTCTTTACCAAGGCTCACTTTCTTGGACACTTCCGCACTCTTCTTTCCAAACTCAAGCTGGTCTCCTCATCACCACCTTGAGTTTAAGGGGGGATGTTACAGAATATTCATCACACTTGATTATGTTCACATTGCTATGATTATATTCACATTATAATTTATTGACATAATTAGGTTAATTGATTTTGTAATATAAAATATTCTCTTGTACATGCCTATAAATAGATACTTTGTATATTAAAATGAATAAAAAAAAAAGTATCATTTTCTTCATAGTTTTTCTCTCTTCACTACTAAAATTCAAGCTTTCAGCAACATGGAAGCATGTTGCTGAAAGTGCTTTCCATGTTGCTGAAAGTCCTTCAGCAACATGGATTTGGTTGCTAAAAGTTTTGTTGGAGAAGGCTTGGTGGGTAATACATTACCAACCAAAATCATGTTGCTAATATATCAGCAACAAAAGCTATGTTGCTGAAAAAAAAGTATCAGCAACATAACTTATGTTGCTGAAAACTTTCACCGGAATCCGGTGGGGAGGGGAGGTGAATTTCCTCACCCTCTTCAACAACATAAGCCACATTGCTGAAGATGGGGTTTCAGCAACATGGCTCGAGTTGCTGAAAATTAGTGGCAAACTACTAAAAATTAGTGGTAAACCGACGACCGGAATTTGGCCTCATTTTCAGCAACATAAGCCATGTTGCTAAAACTAGATTTTCAGTAACATGGCTTGTGTTGCTAAAAGTTAGGAAGGACTAGTTGATGGTGATTATTGGTGTACTATCAGCAACATACTCCTTGTTGCTGATAGTGAGTTGAATAGTAATACTCCATGCTTTCAGCAACTTAACTTTTGTTGCTGATGTTTCAAAATGTCTAATAAAAAAAAATTATACATACTAATATTTTAAACACATATTCTTTATTTTCACTTATATTATAATTAATATATTACATTAATTTCATATTATAATTATTAAATTTAACAATATTTAAATATG